CCTTCACTACTGCTCTCAGGGATTGGGGGATGGAGTGGAAGGAGGAGAGTCTAGAGATGATGGTGTGTGGTACTCAGTACACTGATACGGTCACGGTTCAGATTGGCTCGCGGATTGTACCTTTCAAGCATGTTGAGAGTTTGAATGTGCTGGGGTATCAGATCCCCAGAAGTTTCACTTCTATCCACACGAATGTGCAGGAGCGCGTCCAGCAGGCCCGAAGGGCATTCTTTGCGCAGGTGCAGTATTTTACGTGCAGGGCGCTGCCTCTGGTGAAGAAGTTTCGTCGATATCAATCGACTGTGCAGAGCCGTCTTTTAAATGCAGCAGAGGCCATCACGATTGACAGTGAGTGTGTGAGGGTTATCCACGCGTTCGAGGGTATGTGTCTTCTGAGAATGTCAGGGAGGAGGAAGCCAGGAGATGTGGGGTGGGAGGTATGGCGACCAGCTGCACTGACGCGAGTCAGGACAATCTTCTGCGATGGGGGTTTCCCGTCGGCGGTGCAGATGCTGTGTTGGAAGAGCTGGGGCATGATGCGCTCCACGAGGGCAATATTTACTATCTTTGGAGGAGGACAGGGCGGCAAGGACGGAGGTTGAGGTGGAGGGATCAACGACTCAACGTGCTAAACGTGTTCGCTTTGCGGATGGACGGGGGGAGGATGTACCTGCAGCGACTGTGATGGGGGTGGAGGGGATGATTACGGATATGGAGAGGCGGCTGGAGGATCTTTGCTCGCAGGTCGCCTGTTCCATTGCCCGCTCACAGCCGATGCCCTCTGGAGAGGGGGCTGCCCGCGCTCTCAGAGACGAACCACTTGCCGTCTCAAAGGGGAGGAGGGCCTTTCGAGACTCCCGACGTGCGCTTATGATGTGCAATGTTGGCTGGGTCACGGCTCGCGACACAATAACAGAGGTTCTACGACAACACGGCAACAGGGCCTTATCTAGTTCGGGCAAGCGGCTTCGTGGAGGCCCTGTGTCTGTGGGCGGTCGGTCTTGGCAGTTCCCCTACATTCAGTTCTTCGGGGAAAAGTGGTGGGAGTCTGTGCGGGGCGATTGGGTTCAGTTCTTGGAGGTATGGAAGCAACTCCTTACACAATACAACAAAACTAAGGTCTATGATTACTTTGTGGTGTCTTGGAAGGGCTCTCCTAATGGGCCTCGAGGCTCCCCTGAGGCTCGAGAGAAGGCCGATGCTGAGGCGGTCGACATCGCGACCGACCCTCTGCACCCCAAGTACGACCCCAAAGAGTCCGCCAAGCTTGCAATACGTTATGCTATGATCCAGGAACGTGCGACTGTGTGGGATATATCCTCAGAGGGTTTTGCTGCTGAGTTCAAGGGTGACTCATTACTTATCTGCTCCTGGCTACAGGGGAAATGGATATGTGAGAATCGTGGCTACTGCAAGAGGACAGCTGCCATGATTGATTGTACCTTTGAGCTCGCTGCGCGTTTCAATCTGAGGCCTGCTGCCTTGGGACGTGAGATATGGAGACATGAATTCAGGGAGGACAATACACGAGCGGATGAATTGACGCATGAGGCCAGATGTGGCCGCACATTCTACAGAACTCATTGTTATCTATATCCATTCGAAACTTATCTCTTACCGTTCGCTATCAGGGGAGGCTTTGATGGCGGGGTTGACCAGCAAGGATCAGGATGTGGTTTCTGGCTTCAGATCGGCTTAATCAATACTCAGTGCAATCCCAGTGAGATAGGCATCGCTTCCGCGAGAACCGTGGGCCCCTTCCCTGCTGGGCATGAGTTTGCTGTTTCTAGTGCCGTGCCCCTCGTTTGGAGGGATGTGGCCGAGGCCGCGTGGCTCCTCGAAGGAGCTACAGTCGCAGAATGTGAATTGTCGGCAGCCGAAGCGCTGCTCAGCGCTGCCCGTGTGCTTCTGCGGGACCGGTCCTCGCCCAGCTGCACTCAGCTGGGAACGCGAGTCCAAACAAAAACAAACAAACCTGGTTGACGGTTTACCGCCACCTCCCAGTGGATGCTACCCAGTGGCCGACCGGGCCATAAGAGACAATGTGCTAACTTGGGTCGGCTTTTTGATCTTTTTGCAAGAATTCAGAATTTGTTTTCAGAACCGTTTTTTTTCGCCCACCTGTAGTGGGTTTGCCGCGTCTGCTTGTCAAATTCTCAGGTTTGTAGCTGCAATATTACTATCGAAAGACTTGGGGGAATCGTCCGCCGTTGCGAGTCATATTGACACGCGTTGACGGCTTTCTCTACTTACCTCGAGATTTAGGACAGCTACAGAGCTCATGCGTACAGAAACCGATTGAGGATCATCAGGCGCGTTCGTCTGTTCTATTGAGAGGTCTGAACTCGGTCTGCTACTCGAGCTAGATGCGCGAAGTTATTCGTATCGTACAAGTGATCTTGACAGGTGTTGTCCGTTTCCGGTAACTGAAGATTAAGAAGAGTTATAGAGCTGGTACGCATATAAATCGATCCAGTATGACCCGTCGCGTTCTTTTCTCGCATCGAGAGGTCTGAACTCGGTCTTGCACTGGAGTTAGGTCCACGACACGATATGCAAAATAAAAGAAAAACGTATTTTTTCGTGCTTTTTTCTTCACCCGTGAGAAAGTTTTTTTCGTGTGCTCCGAGCAGCACCACGCAAGAACAGAGCTCTACGAGGCTTCCGGCGGTTATCTGGTTGACGGTTTACCGCCGGATCCCAGTATTTGAAGATATTTGACAATTCATTTTGAGAGCCGGTATTTTTACCATAGTGGTATATGCCGCGTCTGCCAGTAAAGTTCTCAGGTTTGTAGATGGAATATTACTATGAAAAGACTTGAGGGGACCGACTGTGTTTCGAGTCATCCTGACACGCGTTGACAGTTTCCGGTACTTAACTCGAGATTCAGGATAGCTACAGAGCTCATACTTGAAGACTATTGGGAATCATCAGGCGCGTTCGTGTGTTGCATCCAGAGGTCTGAACTCGGTCTTATAATCGAGCTAGGTTCGCACAACTATTTGCATTCTTCGAGTCATTTAACAAGTCCTCTCGGTTTCCTGTACTTAACTGAAGATTCAGAAGAGCCACAGAGCTGGTACGCATATACACCGATCCAGTATCACCCGGCGCGTTCTTTTCTCGCATCGAGAGGTCTTAACTCGGGCTGGTTCTCGAGCTAGTTCCATGAAAGGAAGATGCAGAATAAAAAAAAAGAAGTATTTTTTCGAGTTTTTTCTTTCATGCTTGAGAAAGCTTTCTCGTGTGCTCTGAGCAGCGCTGCGCGATAAGAGAGCTCTAGAAGGCTCCTGGCGGTTACCAGTTTGACGGTTCACCGCCGGATCTCCGTTTGAAAGATATTTGACAGTTCATTTTGAGAACCGGTATTTTTCTCACGTGTAGTGGGATATGCCGCGTCTGCCAGTTAAATTCTCAGGGTCCGTAGCTGCAATATTACTATCGAAAGACTTGCTGGAACCAACTGCGTTCCGAGTCATCTTGACACGCGTCCACGGTTTTCTTCTATACTTAACTCGAGATTTGGGAGCTACAGAGCTGCTGCTTACAGAAACGGGTTCAGAATCATGAGGCGCGTTCGTCTGTTGCATCCAGAGGCCTGAACTCGGTCTGCTACTCGAGCTAGGTCCGTCAAATCATTTGTGTTATTCGAGCCATTTTGACCAGTCATGTTGGTTTTCTGTACTCAACTCAAGATTGAGAGGAGCTACTGAGCTGGTACGCGCATGAACCGATTCAGTATCACCAGGCGCGTGCGTCTGTTGCATCAAGAGACTGAACTCGGTCTGCTACTCGAGGTAGGTCCACCTTGATGTCATCTTGGCGGTATCTTTGACCGTATAAGGGGCCTTCTTGGGCCGTCTTGACGCCATGTTGAGCCGTCTTGGGGTCATCTGGGGCTGTCTTTGGGCCATCTTGGTGGGCTTGGTGGCCTGCCGGTGCCACCTTGGACGCCACCTTGGGCATCCTGTAGGCCTTGGATAGCGCCAGGGAAGCGTCGGAGCTCGCTGGGAGCCTCGAGAGGGGGTGGCGGTTCACGCGCCACTTCGTGGCGAGGGGGGGGATCCTTCAGAAGACATATAGAAGCCTTGCCAGACAGCATTTGCCTTAAGTCGGGCGTGTCCCCCTACAGGGGTAGGGAATTTTCGACGAAAAATTAAAAATATTCAAAACATACTCCAAACAATCATACAACATACGCAACAAATAGTCCCCAGACTATTTTTTGATCATCTTTGAAATATTCCTCCTGTAGAGGGACACGCCCGAGTTCACATTTGCCATTCCACCACGCGTCAACGTGCCAGGCGATGGACAGGCTCGTGTGTTCTGCTGGGTCGGATGGGCCCCTGGATGGGGCCCCCATCGGCTGGCGGGGCGGCAGAGTGGGAGCAGCACGGGGCTGCGGGTCCCAGCATCCGGCCTGGCCAGGAGCCTCGCCGGCGCACGCAGGCCCCCCTGTCGGGCTGGCGCGGGGTGTCGGGAGGCCTCCCCGGGCCCGGCAGGCGGAAAGCTGTTCAAGACGGCAGTGGATCGGGAGCGGAAAAGAGGGGGGTGATGACTGGGGGGGGGTGGATTTCATGGCGCGGGCCAAGATTTTTCCTCAGATCTCATGGCGCCTCTTCTTATTTCATTACGTCCCAGGCCCCCCCGCTGAGCCGCGCACGTGCCGCCGGTCATGATTTGCACCTTGGACCCCCCCCTCTTGGCCGCCCGAGTGGAGCTTCGAACAACCTCCATCCTCGATCCCCGATGTCCATCGCGGGCAGCTCCTCGCGCTCCGCACCGACCTCCATCTCCACCGGCCTGAAGGCGTTGAGCCCGAGGGGAAGGCGAGGCCGAAGGGAAGTGTGAGCGCAGCGTTGACTACCTCCGCCCAGAGGGCGGTGCAGTGCGCGATTGGGAGCTCGCTGTGATGGCTTGGAGCCTGCGACAGCGCTTGCCTTTTTCCTGCTCACGCGCCGTCGGGTGCATGGCACGCTCGCTCGCGCACCCGCAGGCGGCTCCTCTCTGGCGCCGTCGCGCCCCCTAGCCCAGCCCCCCGTGCCCGCTGGCCCGCCCAATCGGTGCAGTTGGCTCCATGGAGTCGCGCGCGCGCGTAGCAGCGCCAGGCCGAGCGGGCGGAGGAGGGGATCAAGCTCCCTCTCCCGCCCTCCTTCCCGTCCTCCTCCTCCTCTCCCTTCCCTTCCCCTCTTCTTTCTGCTCCTCCCCCTGCCCAGTGCTCCTCCTCCTTTCCTTGCCTCGCCCCTCCCCCCCCCCCCTCCTCCTTCTCCTCCTCGGTCCCAGCCCCCCTCATCATCCTGTCCCACCCTTTCCCCTACTCCCTCCTCCTCTTTCTCCCCCTTCCCCTCCTCCTGGCCCTGTCCTGTTTTTCCTCCTCTGCTTCCCTCCCCTCGCCCTCCCCTTCCCTCTCCCTCCGTCGCCGGTCACCTTCACCAGGAGGGAGCCGGAGGAAGAGGTGGTGGCGGAGGGGGAGGAAGGGGCGGAGGTGGGGGCGGGGGAGGTTGAGGATGAGGTTGAGGATGATGATCGTAATATTTATGACGATGATCAGTGTGGTGGTGGAGAGTCTGGTAGAGGTGATGATGATAACGACCTCGAGGATGACGACGATGATTGTGATGATGCTGGTGGTGATGATGATGGTGATGATGGTGATGATGCTGATGATCATGAGGATGATAATCATGATTATGCTGATGCTGCTGATGATGAGGCTGTGGTTGTTGATGAGGATAATGTCGGTGATGGCGATGGTGCTAATGCTGGTGCTGTCAATGCTGATGATGTTCATGATGGTGATGACGATGATGATGCTGATGCTGATGCTGATGCTGATGATGCTGCTGATGATGATAATGGTGGTGGTGGTGGTGATCGTGCTGATGATCATGAGGCTGATACTGATGATGATGATGCAGACGATGCTGATAGTGATGATGTTCATGATGGTGAAGACGATGATGATGATGGTGCTGATGCTGGGACAATGCCGATACGGATGCTGATGCTGCCGATGATGCTGATGCTGATGCTGATGATGCTGACGATGATGATGCTTATGATGATGATGATGATGATGATGATGATGATGATGATGATGATGATGATGATGATGATGGCGGTGGTGATAATGCTGTTGCTGATGATCTTGCTGATGATGTGAATGCTTATGATGTCGATGATGCAGCTCTGATGCTGACAATGCTGATACTGCTGCTGCTGATGAGGAAGGTCATGATGGTGCTTACGATGATGATGGTGATGATGGTAATGATGATGCTTCTACGACGATGCTGATGATGCTGATGATGATGGACCTGATGACGATGATGATGCTGATGATGCTGATGATGATACTCATGTTGATGATGAGGATGCTGATTCTGATGATGATGTTGATGATGATGTCGGTGTTGTTATGGATGATGATGATGATGATGATGATGATGATGATGATGATGATGATGATGTGAAGTACCCAAAGGGATAATACTACATACATCAATAACAGTACTAGTACCAATACTGATCATAACAAAACACACTATCAATACCTTTAAAGCATGAATATGGCTATACTTCTTGATACTCGTCATACTAACAACAACCTGAATAATCATACAAGTACTAGCAAGCAAATAACTTAGACTCACAACACAAATGCGTATACTACAGACGGTTTCTAATTCGATCCACATGAAGAAGACGCCTACGAATATCAATGATAAGAAGCATACAGACACTATTACTGGTAATTTTCGTAAGCGTACGAATGCTAAAGCGAAGGATAATAGTATGAATATTCAAAGGAAATTAATCGTAGTATTAGTAGTGCCAATAACAGTACTACTACTACTACTACTACTACTACTGCGACTACTACTACTACGACTACTACTACTACTACTACTCCTGCTACTACTACTACTACTACTACTACTACTACTACTACTACTACGACTACGACTACGACTACGACTACGACTACGACTACGACTACGACTACTACTACTGCTACTAATATTACTACTACTACTACTACCACCACAACTACTACTACCTACGGCTACCTCCTCCTCTTATTTCTACTACTACTACTACTACTACTACTACTAGTACCTACTACTACTGGTACTATTACTACTACTACTACTACTACTACTACTACTATGTTTACTGCTACTACTACTACTACTACTTTTACTACTACTTCTACTACTGCTTCTACTACTATTACTACTACTACTACTACGGCTACTACTATTACTCACTACTCACTACTAACTACTAACTACTTACTGTTCACTGCTTACTACTTACTACTTACTACTTACTACCTACTACCTACTACTTACTAATTACTACTAACTACTTACTACTTACTACTACTTACTACTCACTACTTACTACCTACTACTTACTACTTACTACTAACTACGTACTACTTACTTTCTACTACTTACTACTCACTACTTACTACTTACTACTTACTACTTACTACTTACCTTACTACTTACTACTTACTACTTACTAGTTACTACTACTTACTACTACTGCTACTACTACTACTGCTACTACTACTACTACTACTGCTACTGCTACTACTACTACTACTACTACTACTACTACTACTACTACTACTACTACTACTACTACTAAAACTACTACTACTACTACAACTACTACTCCTCCTCCTCCTACTACTACTGCGATTAATAATAATATACACATAAGAAGAATGCACGAACTAATAATACGTTGATGTTGATTTTGAGAACGACGGGTTTCAGACGCCCCCCCGTGGGGGATGACGGGGGGGGGCGCGCATCGCATCGCATCGGGGTTGGGCGGCCGGGGGCGCTGCACCTACGAGATGTCGAATGGGATCCCTTGCGTTCCTGGGGATTCCAGGGGATTCCGGGGCATTCCAGAGGATTTCTACGGATGTGTGCGGATTTCGCTGGATCCCTGGAGATTTTTGAGGATCCCTCCAGATTCATGGAGGATTCCTGAGCACTTCTGAAGGAGTCTTGGGGGAACCTGGGGGTTCCTGGGGACTTCATTGGATTCCTTTGGATGTCTCATGATTCTTATGGATTTCTGAAGATCCCTATGCAGCCAGAACTATTCAGGAGAATCCCCAATATTCCAAGAAGGATTCCACAGGATTCCTTTGGACTCCTGAGGATTCCCCAGGGAACTTTGTGACTCCGTAGGAATCCACAGGAAGTCCTCGGAATCCGAAGGAATCTTTCGAAATCAGTAGGCATCTTCAGGGATCAAAGGCCTACCCAGGAATCCATAAGGAAGCCTGAGAACTCCCTAGGATCCTATAGGAATATTTCGGATTCTAACGGGCTTCCTAGGATTTCACGTAGTTCTTGTGATGGTGGTGATGATGGTGGTGATGATGCTGCGATTCTGCTCATGACGATGATGACAAAGATGATGCTGCTGATGCTGATGATTCTGATGATGATGTCGATGATGATGATACTGATCATGGTGATGATGATAACGATGTTGCTGATAATGACCATGATGATGGTGATGGTGGTTGTGGTGGTGATGGTGATTATGGTGGTCGTTGTGGTGGTACTGTTCATGGTGATTATGATGATGCTGATTATGATGATGATGGCGATGATAATGGCAACGCCGACGACGACGACGGTGATGAAGTTGATGATGATGGTGATGATGACCGCGACAACAGTATGACGATGCTCAGCAGTATGCGAATCATGATACGGATGGGGTCGATGGGGAACAACTGATGAGGAAGTTAAAGTGGTGGGAAAGAAGGATAACCATGGAGAGGAAGACGGGCAGGAGAAGGAGGCGGAGGCGGCCCAGGTGGTGGAGAATAAGGTTAGATGAAATGATTATGCTTATGATCATGCTGATGATGATGACAATTATGATGATGATTATGACGACGACGATTATGATGAGATGACGACGCCGACGATGATGATGATGATGATGATGATGATGGTAATGGTGGTGGTGGTGGAGGTGGCGGTGTTGGTGGTGATGATGATGACGACGGTGATGGTGATGGTGATGGTGATGGTGATGGTGATGGTGATGGTGATGGTGATGGTGATGGTGATGGTGATGGTGATGGTGATGGTGATGGTGATGGTGATGGTGATGGTGATGGTGATGGTGATGATGGTGATGATGATGATGATGATGATGATGATGATGATGATGATGATCATGCTAAGGCTGCTGCAGTTGACGACGACGATGACGTTGGTGATGCTATTGATCATGATGAGTACGGTGATGGCGGCGACAACGACGACGACGACGAAGAACGACGGCAGACGCGACGATGGCGGACGACGGACGACGGACGACGGACGACTGACGATCGCCGACGACGGCTGCGACGACCGACGGCTGACGGCCGACGGCCGACGGCCAACAACGATGACGTCGACGACGACGACGACCACGTCCACGACGGAGATGGCAACGACGACAACGGCCACGTCGGCGACGCGGCGGCGACGACGACCACGACGACGACGACAACGACGACGACGATCACAACGACCGGCTGCGATGAGTACAGTGCCGACGGCAGGCCGCCATCGACCATGAGGCGTAGAGCCAGGCGTGCCCTTCGCCCCCCTTCCCGGGCGCGCGCCGTCCACCGCCGCTCCTGCCGGGGTCGGCGTCGCGCCGCCGCCGTCGGCGTCCGTGTCGCCGTCGCTGTCGCCGTCGGCGTCGGCGTTGGCGATGCCGTCGGCATAGTTGTATCCATCGGCGTAGTGGTCGCCGTCGGCGTAGTGGTCGCCGTCGTTGTCGGCGGTGCCTTTGCGGGGGATTGGTGGGTGCAGAGTGAGGAGGAGGAGGAGGAGGAGGAGGAGGCGATCGAGGAAGAGGAGGAGGAGGAGGAGGAGGAGGAAGAGGGACTGATGACTGATGTCCGTGATTGTGATGATGATGATGATGATGATGATGATGTTGATGATGATGATGATGACGATGATGATCATGATTATGATGATGATTACGATGATGATGCTGATGATGACGATGATGATGATGCTGATGATGATGCTGATGATGATGATCATGCTGATGATGATGATGATGATGATGATGATGGTGATGATGATGATGATGATGATGGTGATGGTGGTGGTGGTGATGATGATGATGGTGATGATGATGATGATGATGATGATGATGATGATGATGATGATGATGATGATGATCAGGAGGAGGAGGAAGAGGATGCTGACTGATGATGTTTATGTTGATGGTGATGTTGATGTTGAGGAGGAAGAGGATGAGGATGAGGAAACTTTGGAGTCCAAGACTAGCTGGATTCCAGCGTCAGGTAGGGCATTAAGCGGCAGATCGTCGCTGATGTTGAGACTGACAGCGATGCCAACCATCTAATCTTCGGGCAGTCTTTTGGTGCCCGATTTCCGTGAGGTGTGGAAGGGCGTGCGGTGCTCCCCTATGCCCACCCCTCACGTGCAACGTTTTGGGGGAATGCAGTCGAGGTTGATTAGTAGGTCGACCCGGCCATATCAAGGGTACCCTTGTGTCCTGTGTTTCCTTTTGCCCTTCCGCCAGCGCAGTCACTCTGCCAAGCCGCCGACGCAAACAAGTGTCCTGAGTTTCGCGGCCCATGCCTTCTGCATCCCTGTGGCAATGTGGCCCTCAGAAGGGTCTTATGTCCTCTCGCGTCTCCTCTCCAGTCAGCCTCGACTGTAGGCTCAGGGGAGGCTTCACCGACCCCCAATCGCCGGTTCTCGCCGTTGGCGTCGCCGCCGTCGGCGTCGCCGTCGCCGACGGGCCGTCGGCGTCGCCTTCGGCGCTGAAGTCCACAGCGTCGTCGGCGTCGCCGTCGGCGCTGGGACGTCGGCGTCGCCGTGGGTGGGAATGGCGTGCGCCGCGCGGTACGCGCGTATGCGTGGGCTGGCGTCTGTGAGCGAGCAGGCGTGGTGCCGCTCCCCCAGTAATCGGGTATAGCCATGGCCCTGGGTATGTCGGGGGCGGCAAAGGGGTGTGATGTCTAGGGGGGGTATCATGACGGGGGCCATGATACTTCCCCAGATTTCATGGCGCCTCTTCTTGTTTCATTAGTTACGTTCCCGGCCCCCTCCCTGGGCCGCGCACATGCCGCTGGCCATGACTTGCGCCCCCCCTCTTGGACGCCCCTCTCTTGGCCGCCCCCGAGTATGGGGAGCTGGTATAGTCATGGGGCCCCGAATCCCCCCCAAATGGGCTGGAATCGCTAAACCAGGTCTGCCGCAGCTGGTGTTTCTTGGGGTGGCGGCTGTTCCGTTGAGTGGAATGGGGCGGGGGCGGCGTCCCCAAGCACACATCGCTGAACCAGGTCCCACGAAGCCCAGTCCTGCCAATGCCCGACCGTACGCCCAGCGGCTGTTGCGGCAGCGGCTGCCCACGCGCGCGTCCACGCGCGGGGCCTCCGCGAAGCCCCGCCGCCCCCTCTCGCTTCGGCGCGCTGCCAAGTCAGGGTTGTGGAAGTCGATCAATGGAGAGGAAGCATGCCGCCGACTAATTCCCGGATGTGTAAGACATGCTTCAAACATGCCTTAAACAAATCAAGCCATGTCTGAAACATCTTTAGAACGTGCTCTACGCATTTGAAACACATGTTTAGCTCAATGATCGGATTGTTGGAGTGTCCATGGCCATGGCGTCCGCAAAGTCGGGGGCGCTGCCGTCGCCGGCTCTGCCGAGCCGGCCCGTGCCGGGCCCGAGCCGGCTCGGCTGCCCGCGCGGGCCCAGGTGCGGCGGCAGGCGGCACGCCAGCGCGCCGGCCCCCGGCGACCTGCGACCCGGTGCCCGCGCCCCGGCCCGCGGAGCATCCCGCCGCGTGTGCCCGCTCGTTCGCTCTGCGTCCGGGCGCTGCCGTGCGGCGGGTGTATACCCCGGCCACCTTCGGGCCCTTCCGCATCGAGTGGAAGCGCCAGGTATGCTCCTTCCACAAGAGCTGGGCCTCGTCGGGAGACTCGAAGCCAAGACGCTCCACCGTCAGGTCGCGAGTGACCTCCCGCATGCGGCGGTCCGAGAAGCCACAGCTCGCGGGGTGCAGCGTGCGGCTGTGCGCCCTTCCTGCGGCCGCTCCGCAGGCCCTGTGACTCTGGGGCCTGCGAGCTCTTCACTGCGCGGTGTCGCCCAGCGTCTGCGGAGTTTCTGCTCCAGGAGTCCGTGGTCAAACCGACCGTGCGTTGAAGATAGACGCGAAGCGGCTGAGGCGGTTTGACCCTGTTGCGTGCGGCAACCATAGAAGCGGTGGAGGAAGAAGGAGTAGGCGGCGGAGGGGTCGGAGGAAGCAGGAGGGGGAGGGGGAGATGCAGGACGAGAGCGAAAGTGAGGAGAGGAAGGATGGGAGAGGGCGAAGAGAGGGAGAGAGGAGGCGCAGGAGGATGAGGAGGATGAGAATGAGCATGATGAGGATGAGGATGAGGATGAAGACGGTGATGATGTTGATGATGATGTTGATGCTAGTGAAGATGATGACGCTGCTGCTGATGGCGATGTCGATGTCGACGACGATGACGATGACGATGACGATGACGTCGATGATAATGATGATGACGATGATGATGATGATGGTGATGACGGTGACGACGATGGTGATGATGACGACGGCGATGATGTTGACGATGATGATAATGCTGATCATGATGATGTTGATAATGATGCTGATGCTGGTGCTGCTGATGCCGCTGTTGCTGATAATGAGGAATATTAATAAAGAATGATGCTGATGCTGTCGCTGATGATGATGGTAATAATGATGACTGCTGCTGATGATGACGACGATTATGATGCTGCTACGGGTGATGATGATGATTCTTCTGCTGATGCTGATGATGATGATGATGTTAGTGATGATGATGCTGATGCTGACGGTGAGATGATTCTGATGCTGATGCTGGTGCTGCTGCTGCCGATAATGCTGCCAGTGATGATGATGGTGATGTTGATGATGACAGTGCTGATGATGATGATGATGATGATGATGATGATGATGATGATGATGATGATGATGATTACTATGATGATGAGGATGCTGGCGATGATGATGTTGATGATGGTGATGATGCTGATGATGATGCTGATGCTGATGCTGACGATAATGATGATGATGATCATGATGACGATGATGCTGATGCTGATGCTGATGGGGATGGTGACGGTAATGGTCATGATGACGGCGACGGTGACGGGGACGGTGATGATGATGATGCTGCTGATGATGATGCCGATGCTGATGCTAATGCTGATGCTCTTGCTGATGCTGATGCTGCTGCTGATAATGATGACGATGACGATGACGATGATGATGATGATGATGATGATGATCATGATGATGATGATGATGGTGATGATGATGATGATGCTGATGATGACGATGATGATGATGAGTATGATGCTGATGATGATTCTGATGATGATGATGATGATGAAACTGATGATGATGAGGATGATGATGATGATGATGATGATGATGAAGATGATGATGATGATGATGATTATGCTAATGCTGATGCTGGTGCCGGTGATGATGATGATGATGATGATGATGCCGATGATGATGATCATGATGACTATGATTAGGTTCGGCAATTGACTACAGGCGGTCCATAGAAAACCTGCCGAAATCTTCAAACAATATTCGGCCAGGAACTTAAACTCCAAAAACATATAAAAATCTTGAATGGGAAATTCAAAATCCAAGACAACCTGAGAAACTCTCAAACACAAAACCTGGGAAAAGTCAAACACAGAAGACACTACAGAAAATCTTGAACCCGAAACCTGGGAAAAACTCAAACCCACCGAAAACCTAGAAAAAACGTGAAGCTCAAACCTGGAAACAACTCAAACCCGGAAGGTTGTTTTCCCAGAGTTTTTTTTGAAGAGTTGTTCCACAGTTTTTTTCAGAATTTTTCTTCTCTTCTGCTAATTTTTTGTTAAGGAAACAACACGTTTTTCTGGAATTTTAAAGCGTTTTCAATTTTTCAATACAGCTTCCCAGATTTTTTTGATACGTTTTCCGTCGTTTAGAGTTTTCCAGAGTTGTTTTTACATTTTTTAGAGTTGGTTTTAAAGAGTTTTTTATTGTAATTCTTTACGCTTCGCGCTTCCCCACAAGCCCATCTCACAGCAGCAACTCTCGCGAAGCATGCCGACAGTCGTGTTTTTCAGGCGTGTGTCCGCTTGGCCCCGCATATCTCCCCTGTTCCTCCTTCCTCCCGCCTCCTTGTACATCCTCCTTGTGGGGGGAGCGGGAGAAGGACGAGGCGAAGGAGGAGGGAGAGAAAGCGCTCCTCGTGGTTTGAGTCGTTTGGGGTTTCTCGTCCTGGTCTGAGTCGTTCGGGCCCTTCTTCCTGGTGTGAGTCGTTCGGGCTCTTCGTGGTGTGAGTCGTTCGGGCTCTTCGTCCTGGTGTGAGTCGTTCGGGCTTCTCGTGGTGTGAGTTGTTCGGGCCCCTCGTCCTGGTGTGAGTCGTTCGGGCCCCTCCTCCTGGTGTGACTCGTTCGGGCTCCTCGTGGTGTGAGTCGTTCGGGGCCCTCGTCGTGGTGTGAGTCGTTCGGGCTCCTCGTGGTGGCTTGTATGAGCGC